CCAGCTATCTCTCCATCCACCCTCCCTCCTTCCTCCTACCCACCCTTCCTTCCACCCATCCATCACCCATCCTTCCATCTATCCTCACTCCAGCTGTCTCTCCATCCACCCTCCATCCTTCCTCCTACCCACCCTTCCTTCCACCCATCCATCCACCCATTCTTCCATCTATCCTCAATCCAGCTGTCTCTCCATCCACCCTCCATCCTTCCCTCCTACCCACCCTTCCTTCCACCCATCCATCCACCCATCCTTCCATCTATCCTCACTCCAGCTCTTTCCATCATCCATCTTCCTTCCTTCCATTCATCTATCCATTCATCATTATCTGCCTATTCATGAGTCTACCCATCCATCCACTCACTGCCTGCTCACTGATCCCACTGTCCATCCACTATCCATCCACCCACTGCTCCATCGTCATCCGTCCATCTCTCCCATCCCATTACCTACTTCTTCCATCTGCACACTCATTCATCTGTTCGCACAACAAGTGTGCACAGCTCACTCTCTCCCCCAGGCTCAGCCCCTGAAGGGCATCTCTGAGCATGATGACAGGGTCAGTCCACCCTAGGGATGCTACTGACCTCACGGTACAGCCATGCCTGGGTCACCTCCAAGGAGAGCATCACCCAACCCTGAGGCTTGGGGATCAGGCCACCTACGGCCCCAAGAGGGCAGCAAGAAAGACAGTTGTCTTGGTGGCCCGAGCAGGCAGGGCTTCTTTGGGGCACAGGTGCCACTTTCCCCAGGTAGAGGCCAGGCCGGGCGGAGGGGTGGAAGCGACAGGCCTCTCTGCCCACAGGACATCCAGAAGAAGCGCCAGAACAAGGACCTCATGGAGCTGCAGGCCCTCATCGACAGCCACTTCGAAGCCCGGAAGAAAGAGGAGGAGGAGCTGATTGCCCTCAAAGAGAGGATCGTGAGTGTGGCCATGGGTGGAGGCCGCCGGGCACACTTGGAGGGTGCTGGTGGCAAGGCTGGACTGACCTGCCTCCTGGCCACAGGAGAAGCGCCGGGCGGAGAGGGCTGAGCAGCAGAGGATCCGTGCAGAGAAGGAGCGTGAGCGCCAGAACCGCCTGGCGGTGAGCGGGGTGTCCGGCCCCGGGCCTTTCTCCAGTGGTCAAGCTGTGGGGGCCAGGGTTCAGAGCCAGGAGTTAAGCCCTGCCCCGCTGAAACACTGACCCTGGAGATTCCTCCCAGCCACCTCTGCGTCCACAGGGTGGGGGCAGTCTGCCCCTGCCCCTGAGGGTCCGGGGGTGTGGTCTCCACAGGAGGAGAAGGCCCGGAGGGAGGAGGAGGACGCCAAGAGGAGGGCCGAGGACGACCTGAAGAAGAAGAAGGCCCTGTCCTCCATGGGGGCCAACTACAGCAGCTACCTGGCCAAGGTAGGCGGGCGAGGCCGGGGGCCTGGGCCTGGCTGGTGCGCGGCCCCTCCTGAGACCCCACGTCCCTTCAGGCTGACCAGAAGAGAGGCAAGAAGCAGACGGCCCGGGAGATGAAGAAGAAGATCCTGGCCGAGAGACGCAAGCCCCTCAACATCGACCACCTGGGCGACGACAAGCTGAGGTGGGAGCCCGTCGGGGGCACGGGCTGCCGGTCCTTCCTGTGCCCTGAGGTCCCTTCCTGGCTCTCAGGCCGACCCCCGTGCCATCCTCCCCCTCAGGGACAAGGCTAAGGAGCTCTGGGAAACCCTGTACCAACTCGAGACGGACAAGTTTGAGTTTGGGGAGAAGCTGAAACGCCAGAAATATGACGTGAGTCCAGGCACCTGCGCCCGGGGGCCGCTGGGCCCCACCCACTGCGTCCCGCGGGGGCTGTGGCTGGAGGCCACCTCTGGGGCAGCCACTTGGCCACCCGAGGCATCGGCCAGGCCCCTGGGTACATTGGCAACCCTGCCTGAGGGCCAGCATGAGTTTAGGCCACGGGGGCCCTAAGGTGTCCTCAGAGCAGGCCCAGGGGGTGGCACAGGCACAGCTCTGGACGGCGGCTCCTGGGGCACCGGCTGCCTGGAGTTGCGTGGAGGGCTCGCGACCTTGAGCGACCTTCGCTCACAGACCCCCGGCACGAAGGCAAAGCTGGAGTCAGAGGCGGGCTGCCCGGGGTGGGACATCGAAGGCTCTGTGAGGCCCAGCCCTGGCCCACGCACAGAGGCCCAGGTGGCCCAGGGAGGGCTCCAGTCCTGGGTGACCAATGTGCCCTGGGACAACCCAGATACCTGGAGCTTCCCCACCTGAACGCCCTGTAGCACCCCTCGGGTGAAGGACACATGCAGGGGTACCTCCGGTGACCAGCCCCGGCTCCCCGGGAACCCTGGGCAGGCCTCTCCTGAGCCCGCACGTCCTCCCCCTCCCAGAGGCAGCCGATCCCCGCCCTGGTGGCTCCCAGGAGGAGCTGCCTCCCTCACCCTCCAGGCTCCCCTGGGGCTGGCCCACACAGAGCCCCGGCCAGCTCCCCTGTGTCCACCATGCAGTCAGTTGTGGTGGCCTCCACACACACGCTGCCCATACCAGGGCCCAGGGGCTCAGAACCCCAAGGGCCATCTCCAGAGCAGCCCAGCGCATGGCGGGGCCTTGAAGCCTTGGCCACCCACCCAGCCCTATAACCATCTCGGTCTCTCTAGATCATGACCCTCCGGGCCAGAGTGGAGATGCTGGCCAAGTTGTGAGTAGCCAGAGTCCACTGCGGGCCCGGCTGGCGCGTGTGCAGTGCACGGTGCTCCTCTCGCATGGCAAAGGCCAGGTCACGGAGTCGGGCAGGCAGGCTGGCCCTCTGTGGCCTTGGTACTCTCCTTCCTGCCCCGTCCCCTCCTGCCTCCAGACGTGGCCTTGAGGCTGGCCTGCTGCCCTGGTTGGCAGGAGAGGAGGGGCCTCTGCTTCCCAGGAGCTTTGGGAACCAGGTGCCTTGGCCACCAAGCTGGGAGCAGGGGTGGGGCCAGGAGCAGGAGGGTCAGAGTCAGGGGTCGAGGGCCGGAAGGAGGGTCTGCGGGCCCCACCTCCACCCTGCCCCAGGGCCTGCTGCAGTTAGAAGGTAAGTGGCCAGCTCTGCAGCTGCTGTGTATGGTATCGCAGGCCGCTACAGGCCAGTGAGAGTGAGTCGGGTCAGCCACCCGAGGGCAAGGGACAGCGCCCTCCCGAAGGAGCCAGGAGCAGGAGCCAGCACGGAGCCACCGCTCTGCTGCGGTGGCTGGGCCCCCGGGTCCCCCTCGCAGTAAGTCGCCTGTGTTGTTTGCAGATCACCACCCTCAGGAGCCGCATCGACCAGGCCCAGAAGCAGTGAGTAGCCTGGCCCACCTTGCTCTGCCCTGGGCACAGGGGCCACAGAGACTGCTGCCACTGTCCCTGTGGGCCTGGTGTTTTAGCCAGCCCCTGAACAAGGGCCAGGAGTGGCCGGCCCTCAGCAGAGCAGTAACACAACTAACCAGGTCCTGTGCCCTGGGGCCTGTGGACCCTCCTCACCTGCTCACAGGAGGGGGTGCCAGAGAGGGTTTGCCAGTGATGCCCTCTGGTGCCCAGCACCGGCCAGCAAGGAGAGGGCTGCAGGAGGCCCCCAGCATGCGGAGGCTCTCAGGGGCCATCAGATGGCCTTGCATGGCCGGCCTGGACACCCAGAGTGTCACCCTCCAAGGTGACCGGGGGTGGGGAGTTCAGAGGCTGACCTGGGGGGCGACATGGCCCCTCTGCAACCGTCGGTTCCTCAGAAATGCCCTTGGGCCATGGAATCGTGCCCCACGGGGTGCGGGGACCAAGGGCAACACTTCTCCCGGCCCCCTGGGCTGAGCTCTGGTGCCAGTGACATGTCACCGGGGTCTGGTCACTGAGCCTGGCTGCAGGCTGTCCCTCCCCGAGAGCCTGGTGGAGCTCCTGCCTCCCAGGGCTTCCTCCCTCTTACCAGAGGCTCCCTTCTGCTCCCAGAGACGGGCCCCCTCTAGGGAGGGTCTCGGTTCTGTGGGCCAGGACTGTCACAGGTGTGCATGTGCACGTGTGTGTGTTCACACGTGTGTGCTCAGGAATGGTCCTGTCGTGCCAGCCTCTGGGGCTGAAGCTCTCTGTCTTCCGCCTGCCTGGGCCCCACTCAGCACCTCCTGGCTCTTTGGTGCACAAAGGTCCTCAAACCCTCAGAAGAGGGGACAGGTTCCTGGGGGTGGCCACACTTATCTGCCCCCCAGAGTGGCACAGACTGTGTGGGGAAGAGAGTAGTCATCTGCCAAGACAGTCTCCACCCACTGGGGTCTGTCTGCAGCAACCCCAGGCAGGGCAGGGAAGACAGAGGGTGGCCCTGCCCCGGGCCCACCCCTGCTAACCACACTAAGCCCTAAGCCCCAGGCCCCTGGCCAGGCCAGTACAGGTGAGTCAGTGCTGTGCAGAGGGGAAGAAGTGTGTGTGTGTGGGGGGGGGTTGTGAGGCTTGGCCAGGACCTCATCCTGCATGCATTTTGGAGTCCAGGGCTAGAGGTCCACACTGGGGAGGCCAGGGCTAGAGGGCTGCAAGGCAGGGAGAGGCTCTGCCTCTCAAGGCTGCCCTTCCGGCCGGGCTGATGCTCAGACTCAAGAACAACTTGCTTCCCATCTGCAGCAGCAAGAAGGCCGGTGCCACCGCTAAGGGCAAAGTCGGTGGGCGCTGGAAGTAAAGGGCCAGGAGGTCCCGCGGCAGAGACCCGGCCCCGGCGCACTCCAGCACCATCGCCCCAACACTCGTGCCCAGGCTGCTTCTGGGGTTCCGGGACGCCGCCGGGGGTGGAGGGCCCCGCTGGAGCACCCCCTTGTCTCTGCCGTCCCAGTCCCCACCCTCTGGGGTCTGTGAATAAAGCCAGCAGACCCCCCTCCAGCAGATGTGTGCTGTCGTTCATGGGGGGCCTGGGGTGAGAGCCGCCCAGTGGAGCGGCTCCTGAGAGCGTGGGGCACATCATGCCCACTAACAGCGACTGTGGCCATGCTGGGTGCTGGGCCCGGAGCGCCTCCAGGACTCTGTCATTGACTCCTCTCACCAAGGGCTTGTCACCCCTAAGATGCCCCCCCGTCCCCTATCCCAGGGCTTGCCACGTCGTACACAGGCTGAGCCCCCAGAGAGCCCCCTTCACCTGGGCTGCTCTGAAACCATCCGAGTCAGAAGAACTCTGCTTTAGGAGGGTCAGGCAGGGCAGCCAGCCAACGGGAGGCTGCAGACGCCCCCGAGGGTGGGGTGAGACCCCAGCTCCTCTCTGCAGAGCTCAGCACATCAAGGCAAAAGAGGAATGCGAGAGGCACGTTTCCAGCAAGAGAGCAAATATGGCAAACACACAGGGCTCCTCTATATTATAAGAGAACACAGTGCACAACTGTGCCATAAATTTGAAAGTCCTGACCAAATAGAATTATGGAAAGTATAAATCACAGAAATTGGATCAAGACGCGGAGCCTCGGACAGCCAGGTATTCATGCAGGAAGGTATTTGTCCAGAAGGGCCTCTCCAGGGGGCTCCAGGGGCGGGTCTGTGGGCTGCAGCAGCACAGGGGCTGGACCCCAGGGACAGAGGAGCCCCTCAGCTCCAGCACACATGTGCACACCCAACACGTACAGCTACGTGACCCTCTGTGCGCACCAACACACACACACACAGAGCAACGTGGTTCCCTCTGTGCGCACCAACACACACACACACACACACACACACAGAGCAACGTGGCACCCTCTGTGCTCACCAACACACACACACACTTACAGAGCAATGTGGCTCCTCTGTGCACACCAACACACACACATCCAGAACAACGTGGCCCCCTCTGTGCGCACCAACACACACACGGACACACTCACAGAGCAACATGACTCCATCTGTGTGCACCAACATACACACACAGACACACTCACAGAGCAACGTGATTCCCTCTGTGCACACCAACACACACACACACACACACACACAGAGCAACGTGATTCCCTCTGTGCACACCAACACACACAGAGCAACATGGCCCCTCTGTGCACACCAACACACACACACACACACAGAGCAACGTGGCACCCTCTGTGCTCACCAACACACACACACACACTTACAGAGCAATGGGGCTCCTCTGTGTGCACCAACACACACACACAGACACACTCACAGAGCAATGTGGCCCCATCTTGTGCACCAACACACACACACGGACACATTCACAGAGCAACATGACTCCAT